ATTTAGCTATTCCCACTTTACTTATCACATTTAGTGGTTGTTATATACAGTAACATCAAATTTTCTTTTTAGATAATTTAAAGGTTTTTTTAACATTTATTCTTGGAATACATATTAAAAGTGTATTTATTATATTTTTTATTATTAATTTATACTAAAAATAAAAATTTATTTTAATTTTATCAACCGTCTAATTAAATCATTTTACATAATATTAGTGTTGAAAACAAATTTTTCTTTTGTAATTTTTCATATAGATTAATAATAAAAATATACATTAAATACACACTTAAAAGGCAAAAGTTAAAAAAACTCATAATTTAAATGAGTTTGTCTAAGGATACAAGTTAAATCCATATTAATTGCACATTTTTGCAATGAATTCATATAAAAATAATAAAAATTGATTTTAAATTTATTAATTATCTAATTAAAAATAAAATTGGCTATAGTTATAAAAATAATATCTACTTTTATATCTTTTTATAAAAATTTATTGTAATAAGATGCAATTAATAGAGACTTAACTTATTCCCAGGATAAAAGTTAGAAAAATTCATTTTTATATTATAAAAAGTATCTGCTTTGAATAAATCTTGTTTGGTTTGTAGGGAAGACCTAAAATAATCTTCCATAAATGTGTCCCTCAGGGGATGTCTCATTAATTAAGAATTTGAATTTCTATATTAAAGATATTAAATTTAAATTCTGTGAGGAGTTAAGAGGGAAAAAGTTATTTTTTATTATATAACTTATCATCTAATATACTAAAAAAAAAAAAATCTTCCATGAATGTCACGAGTGCTCCATCTTACTTTGAGAGAAGGGCAAATCTCCTATTTAACCCCTTAACTTATTGATTTTAAGGCTATTGGCACTCCACCTAAACATTTGAAAGTATTAGCCCATTAACAACATGATTAAAAGGAATTCACCTTTACTTAATAGATTTTAATCTCACACTATTAATTAAACGTTATTTCCATCTTAGTCAACAACAAAGTTAGCATTTCTATCCTATGTGACATGCTATTATGGCAATCAACAAAAATTTATCTCTCAATATGCTATGGGCTCCACTTTGATAAATTTTAATTGTTTAATTTTGTCGAGATTCTAAATAAAGTTTTTCTTTTAAAAAAATATTATGATATAATGTGGTATTGTCCCCGTGACATGTCACGTAAGATAGAAATACTAACTATATTATTAATTAAAATAGAAATAACATTTGACTAATGATGTAATATTAAAATTTGTTAAATAATAGTGAATTCCCTCAAATCATATTGTTAAGGGGCTAATATCCTTAAGTTTTTAAGTGAGAGGCTAGTAACATTAAAATCTATGAGTTAAGGGGCTAAGTGAGGCGTTAAGCCTTTATGAATCTATTGATGATTAAAAAGTTCAATACCTCTTTTTTTTTCTTTTTTGGGTACATTTCAATACCTTATTAATGCGTGTCTCGGTAATAAGTAAATGAGTAAATCAGACCACCGTCCTTGTCACCTTGATGAAGCCACAAAAAAATCCAAAGATTAGATTTTCTAAACCTAGTTAAGCTTTCAATAGAGTAATTTTAGTAGCTTAAAATTCTATGATAAGAAAATTCTTTAGGGATTTAGATATTTTACAGCTATTTATATTAACAAGAAAAAAAGACTTACCATTCTAATTCAATTAAAATTCTCAAACTTAATCTTTAAATTAAAGTAAAAAACCTGAAAAGAAAAGATTTTCCTTCCATTATTTTTCTCTTTATTGTTGCACACCCTAATCCAATGATTTTCAGCCAGGGCTTCTAGCCGGCATGCGCTTTATGCCGCCCAAGCCCAAGTCCAGTGGGCTAGGCTTTTTCGGCCATATGATTTACGTAGACTTAATTACCACCTTTTGAATTTTCTTAAAGTACATGTGATTATGTTCAATATTAAATTAATTGTTAGAGCACAAGGTTAGGTTGGCTTCGTAGTGGATATTCTAACAAATGATTGACTCTAAAAATCAAATAATATATTTGATTGTAATA